GAGTTTTAGAAAAAAGTGACATGATCAAAGACAGGAGGAAACAGTTATTCACTCTAAAAGTGAAAATATGCAGGTAAAATTCAAGAACTGTCTTAAATACGTGAGGCGTTTCTGTAGGGAAGAAGGGAACAGGCCGTATGTCATGGCTAGGATAAACAGAAGAATATTTCTTCCAAGGAAATAACTAAATAACCAAGACAGAATTTCTTTATCCTACTGAAAGCAGACACAGAAGCAATGGGGACAGAATATGCTCTGTCTAAATCTAAACTGGGACCAGTGAATCTTGCAAGTATCTTGCAATCTTGCAAGCTTTTGTATTTCGATTCACTACAAAGGGAGGCCAGAGTGTGCAAATTCATTTGTGTATGTTTAAACAACACAAGTCTACAGAAAGGTGAGATGAATTTTATCTTTGGAAAAATCTTCCTTAGTAGAAGGATATGTTGCTTTGGACAAGGCATAAAGCCTTTTTTTTTAATTAGAGGTTGAAATAGCAGTTACATAAATACTTGATTTGAGGGGTAAGATTTCTACATGTGCCTCTGCCCTTGGGCAAGATATGGATTATTAACTCTGAGATCTCTTCCATGCCTTGGGTCTTCTCCCCAGCTGTATATGAAGCTATGGACTCTGCTAAAGAAGAAAGTTAAGAGTTACTCCTCCAAAATAAGCAGAAGTTACAGAGTTATGAATAAAGATATAGTCTGACATAATGGATACCAGGACTTATTTGTTATATGGGCTCATAAATGAGCTATCAGAAACCTGATTCACCTGCCTGCACACGGGGGTGACTGGAGTCATTTTTAGATGTGTTAACTTGTCACCAGCTCCTGAAGGCCCTGTTGGCCCCATGTCCAATCTGTCAGTGACCTGTGCATGTCCAAAACACCTGAAGGAACCCAAAAGTCTGTTGCTATCTATGCTCTAGCAGCTGAACTGATCCCTTAAGTTCCTTCTACAGCCACAGAACTTTGATTTCCAGTGACCACTGCTTTCCACCTACTGTCAATTACTGCTGAAACTGTCTCTTGCTCTTCCCTGGCTGCTGGTTTAAAAAAAAAAAAAAAAAAGTATCTTGCCCTGTGGCTGAGTTAGCAGATAAACAGCAAGCACACAAAACCATATATGCCCTTTTTATCCAAAATGGGTTATTTCTTTGACAATGACAATTTCTGTTTGTTTCAGAACAAGCATGGAAAAACAAACAGGATCCATGTCTCAGATAAGTGTTTGATCCCTGTTGCTTTTTCATCACCTGAAATCTTTCATTGGTCAGACATCCTCAGGATGTCACTGTCTCCATAGCAGCAAACCGTTGTCACCATGGAAGGCTGATGGCTGAATTGTGGTTTGGGATTTGCAGGAGTTTTAGGGGATAGCATCCATGTAGATGACAGCATGAGCAGTGAAAACCAAGGATCATAAGTCAAATAATACCTATGTGCAGTATAATTCATGATTTGTATTAATTAAAAGGCCAGCAGAATAGGCATCCATTTCCTTAGGTGTTGTGTAAAAATAATTTCTGCCCAGGATGATCATGCAATGTAAAGATAATGTGGAAGAAGAGAGCTAAAATGGGCTTATCATGTTACACCATACAGGATACTGCAGCCTCTGCATTAGAGGCCTGTTGAAGCATAGCTTAGTGCTGTAATAACTTTAATAGACATATCTTTTAATAGAAGACCTTTAATAACATCTGATAATAGACACAGACTGGATCACATCCCCCAGGTAGTAGCACCAACACCAGCCACCCACTTCTAGAGATTAAATCCAACTGTGGTACTGCCTGTATCTGCCTTACAGAACTGGAGTGAGGATGCGTTTGGAGTAGAAGCAGAAGGAAGAGTGATGAATTATTTAAAGTTTACTTTAACATCAGTTGTTCCACTTTTTCTTGTTGAAATAAAAAGGTCTCCAGAGTTACTTCTTTGGTTTGGAATTATTTTATTCCACAGCTAACCTAACTAGTGGGATTTTGTTTTCGTTTAGGTGTCAGAGTATTATTTAAAACAAAATAAAGAAGTAAATACTTCATATCTAAAACGCTCTCAAAATATGGATTTAATGTTTCACAAACAATCATGGATGTGTGCATACATAAGGTAGTGCCCATTTTCAAGGGGCTATTTAGCACTGCTCCTAAGCAACATACCTATTCTGCTTGCTTTGTCTGACTGAAAGCATTTAACAACTTAGTTTCCCTTCTGGTTATGAGGTATTTAAATAGATTTTGTTCCACTGACTGAGCTTATTTTAACGAGAACAACTTATTTTTGTCCACATTTCAGAGTGGTATGTGACTTAAATAGCAAATGACTACAGATAGAGTTGGCCTTCCATGTCCTACTGGTGTAGCAGGCTGTCTGTCCTGGCTAATGAGCATCCCTTCCTAAATCCCTTCACAAGTCCAGGCAACGATCCTACTCCACTGATTTGTTTTAAAGCGTGTCTGAGATAATTTCTCTTCTTTAAGCAAACGGTGGAGCATTTGCAGCTACTCAAACTCTGAATAGAGAGTGCAAGTCGCATTAATTTTCCATTGTCATTACCATAAGCCGTTTTCAAAGTTTGGAAATGCTAATAGAGCAATAAAGTGAGAAAGGTGGGACTCATTTGATTTTGTAAGGGCCTTTTAGCTCTCAAGCTGAAACAGCTGGAAGCAGGTTAGAGCCCTCTGTGTTGCTTTGCCCCCCATACAGTTTTCGAAAAGACAGTCTCAGACAAACTTAGGTGTTTAGGGTGACCCGTAGGCTAACACAGACACCACTTCGGAAGCCAATGGCTGTACTGGCTAGAGATTTAACTCAGTTCTCTAGTGAGAGATGCCTAGCAAGGAAAAACTGTCAATACATTGAGACGGAGCTGGAAGAAATGACAGTGCTGAAGCCATTTGGATCAGCAGCTGAAAGTGAGGACATCTCAAATGCAATTGTCCATGCATACCTGGATAGCTCTAGTTCACATGGACACACTGACCTACTTGTATAACCAAAAGGAAGACTCAGGTAGATAGAGGCATCTAGTGCCATGGAGTATCAACAAGACCTTCAGCTACTGCTCCAGAGAGCTGCGTCCTCTGTAAGTCCTGTGTCATATCTGCCAGGCCTGTGCCTGGCAGACGTTTTCTGGCACATCCAGTGGCCTTTGGCCATGTGTAGGGAGCTGATTCATGCCCATTCTAGACTTCTGACAGAAAAAAAATTGAACACCATGGCCAGCTGCTTGCTCAAGTCACCCAAGGCAGCACCGCAAGAAGTGAGAAACTGAATTTAGGCTCCTTGGTTTCACAGTCTTGGCTTGAGCTGCTGATTCATCTTGCTGCTAGCTCTGTTGGGCCACATCTAAGCATGTATGCTGGGCCTGCCTGCTCCCCTCAAAGCCCAGGGCTTTTACATCCCATGCAGGGCACTTTGAACTAATTCCAATCACTTCAGAGACAGTGTTTCCTGTTTCTACAACCCAGCCGACTCCTTAATCCTTTTATCCAGCTGCTATTGTGCCAACTTGTCCTTATGTTCCTGTTTGACCTCATCTTTATTCTTTCACCCATGTGTTTCATTCCAACACCCTGTACAAGGCATGTGCTTGCAACTCCATGAAATAGAGCTACATGGTTTATAGGGAAAGAAACTACTGAGCAAGTGTGCATAAAGACATGCACACACAGACACATGCCCCAGGTCAGGTTCTTCCTGTTGCTTCACTTCTTCCATTCCCCAACCGACTGTGACACTGAACAAGTCACTTAACCTCTCGCTGTCTGAGTTTACCCAGCCGTAAAATGGGGATAAAAATACTTCACCTACCTCAGGCAGGACATGTGGTTTAATTCCTTCATGTTTTCAAAGTGCTTTGAGTTCCTGAGCTGGACATGAATTGGCTTACTTTTTCTCAAATGAATAATGTTTGTGGTGTCCAGTTTGATGCATATTAAACTGGCCCTACTTGTGCTTGCTCGGTTGCTCCAGCGCCAGAACTTAGGGGACCTTAGTCAAATTATTTTTCTTTGAATTGGGGGATGCTCATCCAATTTCAACCCCCTGCTACATGCAGGGTCTCCAACCACCAGACCAGGCTGCCCAGAGCCACATCCAGCCTGGCCTTGAATGCCTTCAGGGATGGGGCATCCACAGCCTCCTTGGGCAAAATGTTGTTGTACAGGTAGGTGCTCTAAATTTCACTGACACAGAGTTAACATTAGGTACATTCAGATTCAACTAAATTCCTCATTTTTTATAATCTGGGATATTAAGCTCTGAAATAATTTCCCCACAGAGCAGTGAGCTTTGCATCATCTAAATCTTAGCAATCAAAGCCCTTCTGAAAGCAATGACCCAGCCCAGACATAAGATTTTAGAGACGCTGTGTAGATCATCAAGGAACAAACTCAGATCTGAACCTTCTTACTTCCTGCTGAGCAAGTGTAATGAGTCTGTAACAGTACCCTCTCCCACTTCCCACCTCCTTTCCATGCAGAACTATTAGTGATTATGTGAGTAAACTCACATTTTTCTCTTATGATGATCCCTGATAACGTATGTGGGGAGCTTCTACAGTAGGTTAAGATGAGATATAAGAAGCATCAGACAAAAGGGAATCTTTCCCTCCTGGACACATAATAATATGGTTCTCCATCATTTACCAAAACTTAGAACTGGCTGAACGCCTTGTTTTTCATCTGTTCTTCCCATTTTTTCCTTAACAGCTGTTTTGTGTTCCATGTATTTTGCAGGCTATTGCAAATACATTTCTTTTTTTCTTTTTATTTTTTTCCCTCCTTCTTTTCTTTCACTGATTGCTTCACGGTTTTTCTCACCTCTTCTCTCCCCCACTTCTTCCATTCACATTTGTATTACTGTGCCCTAACAGAAAATCAGTCGCTCCGTGCCAAAGACAACATACATCACCCAGTGACGGCTCCTTCTGCTTCTACCCGTGACCTTTAGAAACAAAATAGCCAAACACAAACAAGAAGAGATAAGGGCTCATTCTGGACGTGGCATTTTTATTTGCTTCAGGTGCGATTTATAAAGCTGTCACCGAGTTCTGCTGGCAGCTGCGGATGCAGTAGGAAAAGTTGTTTCTGTATCCCATACAAACGGTGATGGGAAGTGATTTAACTCTTTGGCTGCTCCAGGTGCTGTGTGTGTGGCATTTCTTTGGGTCTCTGTCTTGAAGAGAAGGCTTCAAAAAGATGGCAGTTGAGGAGGTCGCACAGCAGATGTGGTCATAGGATGTGGTCATGTCAGGTCTTCAGAGCTCTGCCCCTCTTCTTGTACATTACAGCTGCATTTGAAACTGGGTGATAATGCAGACCTTAAGCCTTCATTTCTATCTTACTGGGATACAGGAGAAAACAGACTTCTTTTCTGATTTTGCTAAATTAGCTTAGGCATCTCAGATAATCTCTTTGTGCCTCAGTTTCCCCATTGCTGTCACAAAGATACACAAAGATCATCCCATGCTTTTGAGATCCCAGTAAGTTTGTTTTTTTGTACAGGGCAGAACCTGCTGCAGTGTGACCTGCCTTGCAGGGACAGGGATGAGAGGTGAAGAGGACAACAGAGAGGCTGAACTGGGCATGGAAGGATCTGTAACACAACTCACTTAGTGCATTATTTGTGCTGTGACCAGGGGCACCTTTCCAAGTATCGCAGCATGGGTGATTCTAAAAAATATCATAGTCCAAATCACCTGATTTTGCACCTAAATGCACACTTTCACTTTGGTCCAGTGCTCTCCACTCTCTCAACTTCAACCTCCTTTTCTTGCTGCAAGTTTCCTTACTAGAGCAGTTGCTCACACATGAAGGCATATGAGTTAAAATTGCAGCTCTGTCATGAATGTCTACAAACACTTTGTGTTTGTATCCTTCACTATGCTATCTGCCAGTATAATCACTTTCCTCCTATATTAATTCTCTCTGTACGTGAAGACTTTAATCCTTTCTCTCCTTTTATATAGAACTTAATGCCATGAATATTGCATTTAGTGCCATGATCATAGAATCCTAGAATCACAGAATCATTATGGTTGGAAAGGACCACTGAGACCCCCAAGTCCAACCCCAGCCCATCCCCACCATGCCCACTGACCATGACCCTCAATGCTACATCTCCATGGTTCTGGAACACCTCCAAGGATGATGACTCCCCTACCTCCACCTTCTCTGTGCTGAGAAACCTTGGACCACATCTTCCGGGCCAGACAGACACATTCAGATCCTAGACAGGGTAAAGCAGAAGATTTATCAGGCGCCAAGCAGCCTAACTATCCCAGAGCCCCAAACTTCACACTGACAACAGAATCATAGAATCATAGAATTGCTCAGGTTGGAAAAGACCTTCAAGATCAGAGAACACAGCTTGTCTCCTCCCATTAATAATATGCATGGACTATTTCCATCAGTTCCCCTTGATTTCTTTTTCTCCAGTATTTTCTCAAGTGCATGAAGCTCACTTACTCTCCCCAGTCTTTGCAAGTGATACAAATGGTCCTGAGCACTGCTATACTATCCCAGAGTGCAGGTTGGTATTTCAGACTTCCCTGCCTCCTTACTGCTGTTCATTTGAGGGGTGACTGTAGCTAGAAAGTGGCCTTTAGGTTGCTTTTTTCAGACATTATTACACTGTCAAGGCGAGGTGTAAGGCAAGGCTGTTGAAGAAAGAGATTTGACAAGTGAATTTGTTTTAACAGGCAACACAATTTAGTCCATTTAAAAACAAGGCGGAATTGTAAATGCTTTAGGGACTCAGCCCTGCAAACACTGGTGTCCATAGGCCCCCAAAAGTATAATTAAATCAGGAGTTGATTGACTGAAGAAAAATAGAACGTCAGCAATGAAGGCAATTATAGAAAACAGCAATTCCTTTGCATTACTGCTCTGTTTCATTTTCAGGCTTGGAAACTTCACTGAGGTATGATCTTTGGCCTAACCTCTCTGGAGCCAAGAGTGAAACCTCTCTTTGGCTTCAACACAACCAAGATCTAGGCCCAAAATAAGGTCAATGTCAAGGAAGGCACTGATGGTGTAGATTTGCAAAGGAAAATCTTGCATGGAAAATCTTCCTCTAGATCATGGTGCAAATCCGTAAATTTTCAGCCCTGAGCTGGGCTTAGCTGTGATAATCCAACCTGACTGCTGCACGAGAGTCATCCTGGGAAAATGTCACCTAAATCAGGTTACAGGTTCATGCTTCTCCAGTCAAACTCTCATTGCACGTCCTGGAACTTTGCTTGTTCTTTCTTTCTTCACAGTACAGTCCACAGAACTTGGATGAGAGAGAGAAGAGGTGGCCTTCTTCATATGGATGGCACATCTCATCTCTACATCCTCAGGGCATGCCCTCTCATGCCAGCCTCTTGCTTATAACTTGAACCATAGAGAGTTCTCCTAACTCAGATAAGGTAGCAGCTGGGTCTGGACACCATGTTCAGAATGGGCTTTGTAGCTTAGATAAAACTCCCAGAGAAAACTTTTTCTTCAGGGAGCTGGCAAACACAGTCCTGACCCCAGCTGCAGCCTGTAGCTGGCTTGCTTCAGAACTTCCCTGAAAAAATAAATAAGAGGTTCTCTCCAAATTCATTGAGAGAAAGTACCCCAAACGTATTTATTGACAGTGGCTCTTTTCCCTTCCAGATAGGGTTGGATGGAACTTCTACCTTTGGAATCTGACCAGCATCTGAGACACAACATTAGAAACACAGCTGGGCAACTCCCAAACATCGTCTCTTGGGTCTCTCTTTTATTCTTTTTACTCCCCCTTTCCCCTTAGAAAAGCACTACGCAGGCCCTATCATTCTCAGCATTTTGGTGCAGAGGCAATGTTAAGCCAATAGCATGCAGTTGAGCATTTGGAGAGCAGAAAGAATCAGAAAACTTGCCAACAGTCTTGTGTGTTGAACTGTATTGTAAATACTCCTCAAAACACTGGAAAGTTGTTACCATTCTGCTTAATTTATAAATGCTGAAACTGGGGCTTGGAGATGCAAAATGAATCACTGAGGGACATTTAGCAGGTTCATAGCAGACAGACATCTCTTGGGAGACATTCCGCAGTCACAAGACCTCACATTATTTGTTGCATGGAGTTTATGGAAATTATCTATTTCGAGCTTGGGAAAAATACCCTTGTAAATCTTGCTGTGATCTCAGAAGATCTTTCTTCCCACCCATTCCTTTCTAACTCCAACCAGTGTCTTACAGCTCTCAGTAAGGAGAGGATTTAGCAGAGGGTTGTTGGAGTTCGGGTAGTATGGTTCGGTTGTGGTTGGGCTTAATGATGTTTAAGGTTTTTTCCAACCTGAGCAATTCAATGATTCTATGATTCTATGACATGTAGAAGTGCCTGTACCATCTTCTCCTCTTAACAACCCCAGGAAGGCTGTCAGAGAACCTCCACTTTGTGAGATGTGATGAATGCCATGTGGTGCTGTTGGCAGATCTTAGAAGATGCACGCATGCTGACAGGAATTTTTGCTTTCCATTTCAATTAAGAAACAGAGGTTAAAAAAAGAAACAAAACAAAACAAAACAAAACAAAACAAAAACAACAACAACAACAAAAAAAAACAGCCACAAGGAGCTATTAAACCAAATTGCTATCAACCTTCAGCCCATCTGGGTTACTGACAGCTTCTATTTCCAAAAAGTGTTTCTGGTAGAAAAATAAAGCTCTAGGGCCAGGCCTGGCAAAATCTCAGTCCCCTCTGAGAGTTGCTAAATGCCCTCAGATCCCCACGGAGGCACTTGCTGATGTTGTAAGGTTATTACAGGATAAATGAGGGCACAGTTTGGGCAACTTGCCCAACTGAGGAAAAAAGAATAATACTTTTGACAGTGTGTGGCTTTGATCAAAAGAGCTGACCCTCCAGACCCAGATCCAAAGACAGGATGGTCGGTTACAGAGTCTATGAATGCAGCCCTAAGGAGTTCTTGTGTTTTAGCTCTCACAGCTGATGGTCCTGCTGGTTTTAGGTGCCTAAATCCAACACTGAGATACCACTAATGTTCACAGGACTCCTTCTCAGCCTCACACATGGTGGGCAGTTGCATTTCATCCAACTGCTTAAACCTAACAATCTGATAGCATTTCTTTTGACACAGAACAGTGTTCATGAAGCAAAACCTTCCCAGCTGCTGGTTGATATGGTTGGTATAAGCACCAAGTCCCAAGAGAGAAACAGCAATAGGGTCATGAATTAACCTCTACACGGAGGATGCCAGCCTCTGGACAGTAGCTAGCTGCTATGTGTTGGAACTGCAATTAAGATCTTATCGTAGGGATCAAGGACTAGGGATCATAACTGAGGGATCAAGGACTGGAATAAGAAGTGCTAGAAAAAATGTAGGATATATATATAAACTCTTTTTCTAGGGCAGCAAGTCTGCTACTTGAAACAGAGTAATTTGGTAAGCGATGTATATGCTGTGTGGTGAGCCCTTCACTGTAATGCTAGAGAAAATCTGAATGTGCACAGGACAGCCATCATGTTAACATTAGAATATCTGAGGTCTCTCGGGAGACAATTTTTGTGCTTTGGAGCCCCATTTTTTAAGATGTCTTCCACATCTAAAAGATGTATGAAAAGCGTGAAGACCTATTCACTTGTCAGTGTAGATTGAAATTTGGGCAGCACCAAGCAACTGTCTGCAATGTAGGTGTACATGTACACCATGAAACTCCAGTGAAGCTCCCAGTTAAGAGATAAACCACCTTTTTCTCTTTGAGGATTCAGGACTTGAGAAAACATTACCAGCCATCCTACACGTCAATGGTGGTGACAAACACAGATGTCTCCTCCAGCCACTCAGCACAGCACTGCTGGCACAAGTAAGGCACCTGGCTTTGCTTTTTAAAGTTTTGGGGTGTTCCTGTGCGTTTTGCTGAAAAAGGTATCCTCAGTCTCCTCCAAAGAAACAATTAGATAACAACTCTACCAAACAAGACAGACATTTCACTAAGCATCACTATTGTGCCAATATGACTTCATCAGAAGGACTGTAATATACAAGACAGGAATGAGTCTTGGTCCATATTTTTTAAGGCCAGATCTAAAAACTGTTCCATTGCCTTCAGAAGTGGCCACCACCACTGCCACCTATGGACTTTTCAGAGCCATTGACATTTCAGAGCCAAAGGAACATTTAAACTGAATGTCTTAGAAATTGCTAGTTTTTTTCAACATGGTAAGCAGAAATGAACTGATGCCTAGCTCTAGATTTACATGATTGCCCTCTTCTGGGGCATCTCAGAACAGCTCACCCATCCTCAATGCCTGACAGCATCCCATTCAGTAGCAAAGGTTATTCAGGGGGCAAAGGAAAAGCCAAGAGGACCAGCAGAACACTCCAAAAAATGAAAACTTAAACTGCAGTTTTGAGCATTTCTATATTCCTTGCTAAGAACACACATGGAGCCTATCTCTGAGTATAAACCAATATCCCTCATTCTTGAGCAGTAGGAGACATTTCATAAGCTGGCCATGATTTGGTATAACTCCAGTGAAGTTATTTTACACTAACATACAGGAAAAAATCAAAAACACTGAATTTGAAGCAACAAAAAATTGAAAGAAGTTGATATCTATCCAAGCTTTAAGATTGGTGCATGTAGTAAAGGAGAGCGTGCAGTCTTGTAATGCTGAACTAACTGCAGAAGCAGCAGAAAAGGGTGTGAAGGGCATGAAGGTTGTGCATTATCTTATGAAGCTGTAATCATTACCCACTGTGAATAGGGATTTCACAGCACAAGACAGCTGCTAGGTTAAAGAAACAAATACTGACCACAGTTTCTACAGTTTACTACTCAAATTTGCCCAGGACAAAGCAGATAGTATCTTATCTGAAGTTCTATCTCCTTCAATTGAAGCTGAAAGTACTGGGAGGGCTTTTTAGTGCAAAAATGAACTAGGCATTCACTGACACAACTTTGTGGGTGTGCATACATTTCACTGCAAAAATACATATGTATATAGTGAAGATGAAGTGAGCATTACAAGAATAGTCCCTCATTTGCAAAAATTGTAAGTAAATATAACTATATTCTACTAAACTATGTGTATGCATCCAGATATCTTCAGCACTGAAAATTTTATCAAAACCAAAGAATATGAAATTGAAAGAAGTGAGCTTATCTTAGCTTGTAACCTGTTACATAGGGCCTGTTGAGTGACTTCCTCCTTTAAATTGACAATTAAATTGAAGTTGTAAGGAGTAGAGTTT